TAAATGTATTTTTGTAAGCAGCAGCGGCGCCGGTTACTGCTTTCTCTTTTCTTTCCCCATTCTTAAACAGATTATTAACAGGTCTAATGTTAACGTGATCCTGTTGTCACACGGTATGCTTTTCTGCTTTTCATACTATGGTTTAATATGCTTTAATTGTGTATGTTTTAGTGTGAGTGCGCGTGCGCGTAAGGGTGTATGTGCGTGACAAATGTGTGTATTTTTTGTTTTAGTGTGTGTGTGTGTATGCATAAACGGGTGTGTGACTGTACAAATGTGTGTGTGTTTGTGAACGTTTCAGCATGTGTGTGTGCGTGCGCGTATTTGAGTATGCGCATGAATAGGTGTGCAAGTGTGTGTGTAAGTTTGAGCGCCTGTGTGTGTGTGCGTGTGCATGGATGTGTGTGTGTGTGTGTGCGTGCGTGTGTTTCTTAAGCTAATAATGAGCAGACTTTTCTGCGCGATGACATAACTGGACTTAGGATCTGCCTCCATCTTGCTTTTATCGTAACGAGTTTCCATGGTAACAGCAGTTTACCGCCAAACCTCCATCACGAGTGTGACATCACTGCTGCAGTAGCGGTCATGATGACGGAGAGCCCTGATTCAGTCACTGCAGAACCTGGCTTCAGTCTGCGCAGATCTACTGTGGTGAGTCACTGTAGTGCTACTCTGGAGCACCCTCTGCATCACCGCCACTCTCTGCTGACCGGGAAACACTGCTGCTCACTACGGGGAATGTTTCGTACAGGAGTTTTCTAATGTTTTCTGAGCTTTACTGTGACACAATAGCTGAGAGGATTAATATTGGGGGAATGTACAGAACAACACGTCTGACTGCTCTGGATAATGATTATTTTATGTTTTGGATTGTTTTACTAATGATTATTTTATGTTTTGGATTGTTTTGCATCAGCTCAGCTCTCTTATTCTGATGAGGTGATCGATCGATCAGCTGAAAATAAACAGAAGATTAATGAATGATGTGTTTGTTTGGTCATTAGCAGGCCCACATGGCGTGCAGAAGCCCACAGATGTCCGCAGATGTTCAGCCTATCATTGAGTCTGTGTGTCTACTTTTGTAAATGATCATGCATGCATTCATTCATTTTCTTGTCGGCTGAGTCCCTTTATTAATCTGTGGAATGAACCGCCAACTTATCCAGCATATGTTTTACACAGCGGATGCCCTTCCAGCTGCAACCCATCACTGGGAAACACCCATTCACTCTCTGTTAAAATAGTGCGGTAAACATACCCCAACATATATAACCCAGCTATAGGTTATTATAGCACCTTCCTAATTTGAACCCGATGCATTGGGTTATTTTGATTAAATGTAATTATTTTCCATTCTAGTATTGCTATTGGAATTATTACTAGTACTACTATTAGATTTATAGTTATGGCTGTGCACATACAGCTTTCAAAAATATTGAAAATGCTTCATTCCATTACATTTTGGTTGCAGACACTTTTGTTAAAATAAATCAAGAATCACCAACAATGAGGAAACTGAAACAAATCCTGTGTTGATGGAGCCGAATGTGGAGCTGTAGAGATTGTCCAGTAGCTGCAGCAGCTCCACTCAGTGTCCACAATCTGCAATACATTTAACCTCATCCAAACACTTCTAAAAGATGGTATTGGATGGTGAAACGGATATAAAAACACGACACGGACAACAATGTTATTGAGTAAATAAACTTTATAAAGCGAAAACAACATCACGCACGCATATTAATACAGCTGTTCTGTGTCAGTTAAATCAGTTGACTGTTGAAATTCAAATTTCAAACCCAACTGTTTGAGTTATTAATTAAATAACAAAATAAAGGTTAAATAACCCAACAAAGCACCAAATATTTAACTCGACTAGTTGAGCCAGGATTTATTTTCTCTTTGCCTTGATGACAGTTAATATATATTCTTTAAGACGCTCCTATACAGCTTAAAGTGACATTTAAAGGCTTCACAAGGGTAATTAGGGTAACTAGGCAGGTTAGGGTAATTAGGCAAGTTATTGTATAACGATGGTTTGTTCTGTAGACTATCGGGAAAAAAAAATAGCTTAAAGGGGCGAATAATATTGACCTTAAAATGGTGTTTAAAATATTAACAACTGCTTTTATTCTAGCCAAAATAAAACAAATAAGACTTTCTTCAGAAGAAAAAATATTATCAGACATACTGTGAACATTTCCTGAATCTGTTCAACAGCATTTAGGAAATATTTAAAAATAATAAATAAATAAATGGGGGGCTAATAATTCTGACTTCAACTGTACATGAAGGATATACTCTAGCATTGTGTTTCAATACAGTCTAGATGAAGTAAAGCTTTGTCATAATTATATGGACTGTTTACCAAAGGCATGTTGTGTTCAGAGATGTTTGAAGAATGTACAGTTGAAATATATATATAAAAATGAAATTTTCAATCTGAAATGCCGATCAGTGCATATTTGATTAAACTAGTTTTAATTTTTCATATTTAAACACTCTATTGTAACTCTTAAATCAACTTGTCATATATTAATTTACATTATATTCAGTTTCTTTAAAAAATATAGGGATATCCCTATATTATTTAACGGAACATGCATAATTGTGTGTGTGTTAATAATACTAATAACAACCGACCAAAATATGCATTTTTCTAAGGGTTTATAAAAAAGCAAATTAAATGTTTTAATATTTAAACCCTTCAGAAAACTTGTCTGTAACTATTAATCAACTTCTCAAGTCTTAATATAAATTATAGAAAGTTCTGTTAATAATATAGGGATATTAAGGTTCCTCAGTATGTGTAATTGTGTGTATCTGATATTAACAATAATATTATAAACCAACCAAAATATGAAATAAAATAAAATGCAAATAATTTGTAAAAATAAAATGTAATTTATTATTTAAATGTTAAAATAAAAATTAATTTATTATTTAAATGTTAAAATAAAAATTAATTTATTATTTAAATGTTAAAAAAATGTCATTTATTATTTAAATGTTAAAATAAAAATGTATTATTTAATTGTTAAAATTAATTTAATTTATTATTTAAATGTTGAAATTAATTTTAATTTATTATTTAAATTATAAAATAAAATCTAATTTCTTATTTAAATGTTAAAATAAAAAGCAATTTATTATTTAAATGTTACAATAATATCTAATTTATTATTTAAATGTTAAAATAAAATCTAATTTATTATTTAAATGTTAAAATAAAAATGTATTATTTAATTGTTAAAATTAATTGAATTATTTAAATGTTAAAATAAAATGTAATTTATTATTTAAATATTAAAAAAATTTTATTTATTATTTAAATGTTAAAATAAAATCTAATTTATTATTTAAATGTTAAAATAAAAATGTATTATTTAATTGTTAAAATTAATTGAATTATTTAAATGTTAAAATAAAATGTAATTTATTATTTAAATGTTAAAATTAATTTTAATTTATTATTTAAATGTTAAAATAAAATGTAATTTATTATTTAAATGTTACAAAAATGTAATTTATTATTTAAATGTTAAAATAAAAATTAATTTATTATTTAAATGTTAAAATAAAAATTAATTTATTATTTAAATGTTAAAAAAATGTCATTTATTATTTAAATGTTAAAATAAAAATGTATTATTTAATTGTTAAAATTAATTTAATTTATTATTTAAATGTTGAAATTAATTTTAATTTATTATTTAAATTATAAAATAAAATCTAATTTCTTATTTAAATGTTAAAATAAAAAGCAATTTATTATTTAAATGTTACAATAATATCTAATTTATTATTTAAATGTTAAAATAAAATCTAATTTATTATTTAAATGTTAAAATAAAAATGTATTATTTAATTGTTAAAATTAATTGAATTATTTAAATGTTAAAATAAAATGTAATTTATTATTTAAATATTAAAAAAATTTTATTTATTATTTAAATGTTAAAATAAAATCTAATTTATTATTTAAATGTTAAAATAAAAATGTATTATTTAATTGTTAAAATTAATTGAATTATTTAAATGTTAAAATAAAATGTAATTTATTATTTAAATGTTAAAATTAATTTTAATTTATTATTTAAATGTTAAAATAAAATGTAATTTATTATTTAAATGTTACAAAAATGTAATTTATTATTTAAATGTTAAAATAAAATGTAATTTATTATTTTTAATGTTAAAATTAAATTAAATTTATTATTTAAATTTTAAAATAAAATGCAATTTATTATTTAAATGTTACTATAAAATGTAATTTATTATTTAAATGATAAAATAAAATTTTATTTAAATGTTACAATAAAATGTAATTTATTGTTTAAATGATAAAATAAAATTGTATTTATTATTTAAATGTTAAAATAAAATTGTATTTATTATTTAAATGTTAGAATTAATTTAAATGTATTATTTAAATGTTTAAAAAACTAATGGAATATTTCAATAATCATCTAAATTGTTATTTTGTTACCCACTTATTTTTTCCCAAAAAAAACCCCACAGAGAAATATAATGGAGACTGTAAATAATTCAGCGCTCTCCTCACTCTGCTTCAAGCGCGCCAAACCCACGTGCTCTGCTGGAGTTCGCGCGCTTTCAAGTGACACTAGATGGCGGGAAAGAAGCCGTGCGCGTGAACGTCAAGAACGCGATGAGGTTCCCTCCAGGGCGGGGATTTCAAGACAGAGCTCATCACGTGACCGCATTAACGTAGATTTTATTGGACGTATCCTACATGACGTCACTGCCAGGGCGGGAGTTTTCCGTGAGGGAGGGAAACGCAGGAAAACAAAAGCGTAATAAACACCGCACATGCGATTAAAATCCAACATACATGCGGATATAGTTAATAAACAAGCACAGATGCCCGTCTCGTGTGTAGCTTGAGCTCATCATTTTGAACTTTTTGGATGATCACGATGTTTAGCACATAATAACAATTGAACATTTGTAAACAGTCACAAAATGGCAGCATAATTAAATAAATATATGCATTTATAATTGAAATAAATAAATAAATAATAATTAAATGGACGGTCTACAAGTAAGCTAGATGTGCTCAAAATGAACGCGTGTTTTAATAAATGGAAATAAATGTTAAAGGGACGCGTATATATGAGAGGGGCGGGGCTTCAGCGGACGCACATGCGTGATTATTCACTGCATTCACAGCGCGAAAGAGACCGACAGCACTTATAACGGCACTCAGGCATTTTAAACCGTAGTAACCGTCTTTTTAAAATTTGAATTTGAATATTTTTGAATTTGTCTCGCCGTCGTTATTTTTCTGAGCGTGTATCGAGTGTGTCGTGCTGTGAAGAACAGAAACAGTAGAGTGAAAGTGTGTATAAGTGTGTGTGAGTGAGTGAGAGTGTGTGTGTGTGTGCGTGCGCGCGCGCTGCTGGACTTCAGTGTGTGTGTTGATGTGATATTATGGCGGTGAGTCTGGATAAAGACGCTTTTTACCGCCGCATCAAGCGACTCTACGGCAACTGGAAGGTACGGAGAGCTCAGTGTGTGTCATAAACACCACAACATCTGATTATTGATCATATTCGATCATATTTATCCATATCTGATGTGTTTATGTGCGTCTTTGATGCTGAAATCCTCTCTCTCACACACACACACTTACACACATACACACACATCTCAGGCCTCAGCTCTACAGAACTGTTATATAAACACACTCCGCCGGTTGAGTTCGTGTTTTAGTGTTTATCGTGTGATTTCTGTTCGTTTATTAAGAAATAACTCAACTTTGCTGTTATTTTAAACGTTCATGTGTTGATTAGCTCAGCGGCTAACGTTTTAGCATGCTAGCATGTAATGCTTCCAGTTTTCACGTAATTTCCGCCTCATAATAAATCTCGTGTGTAACATAAACACACGTTAAACAAACAGACAGTGTGTTTCGTTCATGTTCTTGTATTGGTTTATGGCTGGTGTGTTTTTCGAGGATGCAGAAGTTGTGTGAGATGTAGCATGTAAGCTAGCTTAGCTCGTACTAAGACATGCTGCAGGTGGGAAACAAAACTGTTAGCATCAACTTAAGTGTTACTTTGTTGTAAACTTGAGTCTAAATTGTGTTTAAAGGGTCTGATGACTCGTTTCCTGAAGAAAATTATTGTGCTTTATGCTTATTGTTTTACATATGAAGGGTTTAGATGCAAAAACCTATCAAAGACATCTGATTTTTTCTTCTAAAATGACCATTTTTCTCCAACTCCTGTGTGTAGGCTCAGTAATTTTACTTTAATATTGACAAATAAGTTATTCACATTGCCTTTAAAGTGAAAAAAACTGAACATAAACAAGAGGCTGAAATAAATGTTTACTTTAGGAGAACATCTTAGATGGCTTTTAGAGGTTTTTGCATCTGAACTCTTCATATATTCTATAATCACTTCACTTTAATATGATACCCTGGACCACAAAACCAGTCAGAACTGTGTGGTTAAGTTAACTGAGATGTAAACATGATCTGAAAGCAGAACAAAGCTGCCTGTTAATGTGTGGTTTGTTAGAAAATATACAAAATATAACACTTCTGATGCGCAACTATTGAAAATCTGAATAGAGGTGAAGTAAGTTTTAATATTGGGATATTCAGACATTCTCCTTAATATAATTTCAGGAAAGTGTTTTTTGCAAATTTTAAATAGGGAAATCATATTAGCAGCAAATTAATATCAAAGTGCAACACTGTTTACAGTCAATTAGATAGTGTTACTGTTATTTTGAAGTCATACTTGCATGCTAATTCCGATCGAATATTCAGAGTAACATGGAAAACAATATAGAGACTTCTAAATGAACGAATGTGTGAACCATCTTTACCTCTATGAAATATAAGTGATCAAGTACAGGGTTTTATAGAGGTAAGGTAGTTTTTTTTATATTCGCACATTCGTTTATTTAGCAGTCTCTATATTATTTACTATGTTAATTTAAAAATTGGATCAGAATTAGCATGCAAGTATGACTTCTAAACAACATTAACACCGTCTAATTGGCTGTAAACAGTGTTGTACTTTGATAGTCTTTGGTCGCTTGTATTATTTCTTTATTTAGAATTAGCAAAGAATACTTTTCTGAAATTATATTATTAAGAAGAATGTCTGAATATCTGAATATAAAACTAACTGCACTTCTATCAGGGGTTCTGAGAGGTCTTAAAGTCTTCAAATGTCTTAAATATCAAAATCCAGATTTTAATCTTTGAAGTCTTAAATTTACTACAATATTGTGTTTTAGGTCATAAATCTTTTTTTTTTTTAACAGGTCTAAATTTCCTTTGTTCAACTATTGCTACTCAATCTGGCCCAAACCCATACATTCACCAACAATCATCTCAATATAACTTTAAACTTTAAGTCTTAAAAAACTTTAAACTTTAAGCCTAAAGCAACAGTTTTTTTTTCTTATTAAAAAGTGAAAATAAATAACTTGCACTTTTGAGAAAAAAAATGTTAGTGTCAGACAATGTTTTTCATATTAAAGGAGAAAATAAGCAGCATATCTTTTAAAGTAAATAACTCTTGCAAATTCTGTTAATAATAGTTTAAACGCATTTCTTGCATCTTCTGTAAGCAAATATTTCAATGTAAAATAATAATTTTATTGTAATGGATAATATGTTGTCTAAAGGCATCTCTGGTGCAGCTTCCTGTCATCGTTAATGTGGTGCAAATGTGAAACGTTTATATATATATATATATATATATATATATATATATATATATATATATATATATATATATATATATACATACATTAGGGATGTAACGGTATTGTAAATACCGTCATACCGCAATATTAATTTTTTTCGATATTACCGTAGTCGCATGACTCGGTAAAACTATAGTTCTTCTGAGAAAATTTGCTCAGGCGAATGAAGCGAACGGGAGGTAGCGGAAACTACAATTCCCATCAGCCCAGGCTTGGCCATAATCTCTTGCGGTCTGTTGTCGCTACAGATCCAGTAATGCGGAAATGAAGTGTGCTGCTAGAAGCGGGCATCAAAAAGAGCTGGAAAACCTTAAAGCGGGTGTTGTCGCCGCGCACGTACTGAATAGCGGTGTTGTCGCGCGAGTTCTGATCAGCTGTGTTGTCGCGCGCGTACTGTAAAGCGGGACGGAGGGTATGTTGCGTCGCGGGGGCACTTTTGATCATTTTGGAAGGGAACTTTCTATCCAAGACTAAAAAGGGCATGTGTACTGCACAGGTTGAGCACTGTGTGTGCACGTGCCTGCAAGTTGGGGAATACGACTAACCGTACGTTCACACCGAAAGCGGCGAGAGCGTCCAAGGTCGCTCTGGCCGCCCTGGCGACAACGCTGTCTGCCTTCAGCTCCTGCGGCGAGAGCATCAAAACTCGCTACATTGATCTCTTATTTAAAGGAGCCGTTGCTGCATATCAGCTACATTCCTGCATAAGACATGTTTCTAGCGTGAAAATGTTGCGCACTTCTTATCAAATTCATACAACAATGGAAGATCAAGTTGCGTGTGGTGCGGCTTTGCTCTATTTATCCAATATGTGGCCATATGTCTGAAATATCCTGAAGCAGCAGTAATGTTTTGTACTGTCACATCGCGTGAGATTCCCGCTTTTTTAAGAGAAATTTATATAACATTAATGAACATCAGTAACTCGCCAGTAACTTATTTAATGTATGTTCCTGTAAGAAAAAATTGTAAATAATTGGAAATCCGGCGACCGCAATAATCCAACCCTTGGGAACAACTGTGGTCGGAACCAAAGTTCACTGGTCTGTGTTCCCTGAACTGCTATCAAGCGGTGGACGTCTTCATTCTGATTGCTTACCGCCGAACCGCGTCATAGCTCATTACCATAAAGTTGACTTCATTTCAACTCTCCTCGACGCTCACGCCGGCAAAGACGCGCCGCGCTGCTCCTCGCCGCTTATCGTCGCCGGCTCTCATTGAAAATGAATGACTTCCGGCTACTTTGACGCTCTCGCCGCTTTCGGTGTGAACGTACGGTAATAATCAGTCATGGGGACTGCAGAAACACAGCACACTGTTCAGATTGATGCAGACATGAGATCTCTATCTCACTCATGGTTTGTCTTCTCACGTGGGGGAAAGACAATGCACAATGTTCCCCACTGCTGTCAACCTGGGCCAAGTCATATCTCTCTTGTCCCAGAAACCTCAGTCCCAAATGAGAGGGTTTTTTCTGTTGCAGGGGACATTGTAAATACCCAGAGATGCCAGCTTTTACCAGATTATATTTATATGGTAATTTTCCTTTAAACCCATCTCTATCTAAGTGAGTGAGTGATTAAATGTTGAATGTGACGAGTTTTCAACACTACTAAATTGAAACTTTATTGTTTTACATGGTTTAATATTTTTTTGTTATTAAAATTGAAGTTCCTGTTTCAAAGCTTACAGATAGATGGCTAATTTGTATGTCATTGACACTTACGGAGCTCCGAAAAGGGGCGGGATTAAACAAGATGATTAGGCATTAATAAAGCAAGCGATTGCTCCATATTTTTTAATTTCTCTCTAGAGAGGTCATGTTTTAATCCTTGATTGGTCTCAAGCAGTCAAGTGTTGCGATTTCGCAGGTCAGAGTTCACTAAGCTTGAAGTTTGCACCGCAGCGATCTGTGAAACTTACCGCACGAACTTGCGTTTCCGGTTTGTTGCATTCATGCATGTATGAATGGAAGTCTATGGGGAGAAAAGTCCAGTGTGACCACAGCTTAAATCAGCCTTAACAGAGCGGGCTCATGTGACTCCGCGCGCAATGGTGAAACTAATTAAAAAAACTCACCTGGAAAAATTAGGTCGAATATAAGTTCTGAATGTTGATTTCGATTACTTTAATTAATCGCCCAGCCCTACTGTAACTGTACAGTTCTAAATCCACATATTGTACCTACTGTAAAATATCTGATCTGAAGACTTGTTGAAAAGGTGAAAGTATTGTTGTTCAGTAACTTTATCTGTGTCATTCTCCATCTCAGAAAGGTGAAGATGAGTTCGGGAAGGTGGACGCCATCGTTGTGTCTGTTGGAGTGGATGAGGAGATCGTCTACGCCAAATCTACAGCCCTCCAGGTGCTGCTAAACACTCAATATTTGTGTTTTCATCCACTTATTTATGTGTGCAGTTATATTGCATAAAAAAGTGCTTAATATAAATGTCAAAGTGCGCAAAAGTTTTAAATGCGCATTAAAATACGTATGCACACACTTTGAGTAGGATAAACTTTACTTGATGACAATAAGTGTGCATAAACTCTGCTGTAAACACATTTAGTGAATAAACTGCACTTCATCAGTGTGTGATGTGTTGAGTTTTTGACTGATGATTTGACTAATATAAATGTGTGTGTGTGAGGGTCTTTAAGTCATTAATGTTGG